CCATGGTGTAATGGTGAGCACTCTGGACTCTGAAGAAATGAATTAGGTGGTAGATTAGATAGGTTGAGGATCTGATGCTGCTCAATTAGCTTTTCCTTTGTCCCATCAGAGACATTTCGTAAGTCCTAACAAAGCCTGTGAAAGATGAATGAGTGCTACTAGAAAAACAACACATGCTTTATTTTGAATGAAGCTTGTAATTGATTTGATATGTAAAAGAAAACATATTTCTCAGCCCCAATAAGACATGGAGTGCTATAATGGAAAAAGAGCTCTGGACTATTAATCTAGTCATCTGGGTTATAGTCCTGGCTCTTTCTGATTTTGAGCAAGTCATTTATCCATGTTAGGCCTTCCTTACCTTCCTGTTAAATAGTAAGGTTGGCTGGTACCATCTAAGATCTCTTCCACATCTAAATTCTCAGATTTTAGAGAAGTTATGTGTATGGTTTTGACTTTTAGCATGTTGATGCTCTTAGTTTAAACATTTTAATCCCTGTATCCCTATTTTTATTTTGGCAGTATGTTACTTTAGGTAAAGGGAATATATGTAGTATGTATGTGTTTGTATAGTGCATTCTAAATTTACATGAGAATAAAATACAAATATAGTTTTAGGCCAGGACCATCTGTTGTGGAAGAGTTCTATGGGATCTATTCATAACTCTTGGGAGTGACAAAAATTTCCCTTTCATTTTCATGATCTTCATACTCTAATCAATCTAAATATAGGAACATTATCCCAATCCTGTTCCTTGCTGCTTTCAAATTTTCAGAATTCTGTGCAACATTTTGTCCTTTGATGGTGAGCTCTTTGAATATTCAGTCTATTCCCTTAGGCTGTTGTCTTAGCGAAATGGAATGCTCTGGTTTTCAATCTGTTACAGCTATTATTATGTGAGTCATATCTTGATATTTACTTTACTTATACATTATGGGTTCTCCTTTAGTCATGTGAAGAGTCCCAATCTTAAATTAGGGAACCAGAAGGCAGGAAACCAAAAGAGAGGAACCAAAAGCAGGAAAACAACTATAAACATACTTCATTTTAGAGATCAGTGGGGTTTTTTTGTTTGTTTTGTTTGTTTTTAAGATTTTATTTTATTTATTTGACAGAAAGTGAGAGGGAGAGAGCATAAGCCAGGGGGAGAGGCAGAGGGAGAAGCAGATTACTGGCTGAGCAGAGAGCCCAACACAGGGCTCAACACATGAACTCTGTGATCATGACCTGAGCTGAAGGCAGACGCTCAATCATCTGAGCCACGCAGGCGCCCCATGTTTTTTATCAAAATGTCAAAGTGAATTCTAAGCAAATTCATTCACTTGTGGAGTAAAAGATAACATCTAAGATTATGTTGCATATTTGAATCTGAAAAGCAAACTTTTCTTGGGTTTTCTGCACATTAAAACTATTTATTCGTCAGAAAGGGATTAAGTGCTAACCATTTTTAAGGACAGTTAAAATAAATGTAAATGACAGTAGATGAATGTGAGTAAGAGTTTTCTGAGATGTGAGTTTTTTGTAAAAGTTTTAGCAAAATAACTGGATTAGTGGGGGAAAGAAGAGTATTTTCCGAAATAATAAAATTAGGTTTCATTATTAATCTTTTGCTATATGTTAAACCATGGAATAAAAAAACTTGGTTGGTTGCCTGCAATTTAAAAATTTAAAACTGAAATTTGGGGAATAAGAACTGTTTCCTGTCTTTAAATCCATTGTCAGAGCATAATGCTATGCTTAGTCCCAGACATACGAACGGTACTGAGCATCTTTCTTGGTTTCAGCGGTCAGATGATATATGAAACAGACAAATCTGAAAGTTTCAGAGCTTAAGATGTAATCTAATGAGTACACACAGTTTATGTCTTTTTCTTTATAACTGAGCATGGTTGACTTGGTGCAAAAAAAAACATAGCTTCTTAGCTGCTAGCCTGATTTCTATGTCCAGGTATTTTCAGAAATTTAGGTTTATGATATCAGCTAAAATCAAAGCACAACATTTGGTGACCAATTCCTAGAAAATATACTCATATGCATAGGATGTGCATGACAATCATAGAACAGTTCTTTTTAAAATTAAGGAAGGTACTTGTATTTTAAATTCTCAGAATGAGAATTCTCAGAATGAGCCACGTGGGCACCCCCTAAAATGAGGCTTTTAATTTCATATTTTGTAATGAAAATTCTGCACTGCTCAGCGGTTTCACTAAAATATGTTGTAAACACTTCAGTATTTTAGTATGGATGTTCAGTAGACTTTCTCTGTTATGTGTGTTTGTGATAAAGAGAAAAGTAGAGACTGAGACACAAAAGGAAGCTTGCTTGATGTCACAAAAATTTATTTTGTCTTATCTACTACTACATAAAGTAGTGACTTTGGAACTTTTCAGCATATAGATTTGAGATGGATTTGGAATGATTATCCTTAAGCATAATGTATCATCTGTCCTTTTTATGGGACTTTGCTCTTATACCTTTTGTAGGTGGGAGAGGTAAAATAAAGCTACCTCATATTCATAAGGAATGGGCTTTTACTTTTTCCAAAGTATTTTCCTACCTTTATTTTTTTAAAGATTTTATCCATTTATATGAGTGAGAGAGAGTAGGAGCAGGGGGAGGGACAGAGGGAGAAGGAGAAGCGGACTCCTCACCGAGTGCAGAGCCCCACCATTGTAGACAACAACAATGACTACAACTACAACAACTACTCAGGGCTTGATCCCAGGACCCTGAGATCTTGACCTTAGCCAAAGTCAGACACTTAATCCACTAAGCTACCCAGATGCCCTTATTTTCTACCTTTGTTATGAGATTGTTTTTGTGTCAGGTCCCTCTGAGGGCCTCTTTCGGTTTCTTAGGTTTAAGTACTGAGATTGTAGAGGTTTTGTTGTTTTTGCCTTTGCTTTGTGATTCTCTCACAATTAGAGAATTACAACAGGTTATCTCTCAGGTACATTTAATATATTTGAGGTTAGACAGTTCTCTGGAACTACTCAGGAAAACCTGAAACTATATTCAAATAGGTATCTTACTTGAATATTGAATAGATAACTTTGTGTAATAGGTACTCATTTGAATGTTAAATAGATACCTATTCAAATAGTTATTTACCTATTGTGCCCTGTCTTCTACTCCCTGTTCAGTAAACTAATATTGAGTGTCATCCGTAGGCTATTACTGACTTATCTAAAGGTTAATATAGCAGAAAATAAATATGCATTTCATTTTGCCTTGTTAGTAGAACCAGTAGGGGGTGGATTGTGATTATCTGACATATTCTGAACACCTTTTAGAGAATAATGTGCTGTGTAGATTTATTATTTAGAAAATACAAGGGAAAGTCATTAGTATAGATCGAGTTTCTCACATTTGAATTAAACTTGATACACACATCTGTAGTGTTCCCCTTAGTGGATGTCCAGTACATATTTGTTAATTAGGATACTTGGGTCCTCTTTCTAGCTCTGCTATTAAATAGACAGTTTTCCTGCTTTGCTATCCATATCCTTTTAGAATTCAGCTGGTTGCCATTTCACTAGGATAAGTTACAGGGCCAAAAAGTGCAGGGACTCAAAACACTGGATGTTTGAAGGGAAAAATAGCTGGCAGTGGCATAGTGTGCCACTCTGAAGGTAAAGGATGAGACCTGCTGTGTGCTGCTTTGAGATAAAATGGCCAGATTAGGTGGAAAGAGCATGGCTGAATCCAACTGTCACTCCAGATACACTTTGCAGCATTAGTTTGTTCTGTCATTGGCAGCATAGCATTCTGTAGGGGATAGAGATTGCCCAGGAACTGGAGTAATTGTATTTATTTCTATTATGAATAGCCCAAATTTCATTTGGCTCTGGGCCAGTAAGGGAGTGGTTAATTTCATGGCTTCTTTAGAACCATTTTGAGAGTAATTTCTTTTAAATTAGTATTCTTTCTGCAGTTAAATATAGAACATTGAATTTTGACACACACCCTCTCCTTCCCACCACTCTGTCATTTATTTCCCACCCACTCTTACCCAAGACTCCCATCAAGCTTCACTTTTCTTTTTACTGATTTTTCCATCTATCGAACTATTTCTTGTCTCTGGCACCGTATAAGATTAAGAATGGCTCTCTATGTTGGTGTGGAATCAGTGATGATAGGCCAGGTAAGTATCTGGGTAAAAGAAGCTGCATCAGCCTTGTTCTAGCCCTACCACTATGTAGCATTCTCTAAGGAGCTCTGCTGCCTTTTACAGCAAATGAGGAGTGGACTCCTGCCCCCCTTTTTTTCTTCTCCTCTAGGTTTGAAACTACAGTAGGATGTTGTAGTTCTTCTGTTTCTTGTGGTTAGAACTTCTCCCATAGTCCAGTATGAAGGATCACCTGTTCAGTCCTATTTTCTCTGAAGAGTGAAGCACTGATTTCTGACCTTCTGTCTCACCCTTTTCAAAATTAGCTCCTATATAGGTTTCAGAAAGAGGCATTTACAGTTCCTTGACTGAAGTCCAGAGTGGGTGCTCCTGTGATCAGGTTTCCTCAGGGAGCTGCTGGTTTGACTCTTCCTTTGGACACTGCAGAGCAGTCTTTCCCCTGCTAAGGATTTCTCAGTTCCTACTTTCTGGTTTTATATGTTCAGAGTCCTGAGATTCAAGCTAATGTTACTTGATTTTTCCTAGTATCTTACCTTTTTTATGGCATCCTTTGTCTTTTTAAAATCCTGCCATTATTGTCTGATGAAATACTTAATGCTATTTTTCTAAGTAATTATTAAAATCATCCTTTGGAGAAGGCATTGGGAGTTGAAAAGAGTTGTCCCTGGACCTTTTAGATAGAGCCATCTAATGTCTCCATTTGCTCTTGTAGTTCCAAAATAGGGAACATTTCAGAATGCAAGAATTAATTATGAGGCAGACTTCTAGCTATAATTTTGAGGAATGAATCAAAGAGGAATGACCAGATCACTTTTAATACATCATTTATAAATTTTGGTTTTGATGTCAACTTTTTATTTTTCTTCTCAGTCGCCTTAGGTCGTAACCAGCCTTTGAAAAAGGAGAAACCCAAATGGAAAAGCGATTATCCCATGACAGATGGACAACTGCGCAGCAAGAGGGACGAATTTTGGGACACCGCACCAGCTTTTGAAGGCCGTAAAGAGATTTGGGATGCCTTGAAGGCTGCTGCACATGCTTTTGAGAGCAATGATCATGAACTGGCACAAGCAATCATTGATGGTGCAAACATAACATTACCACATGGTAGGTTTGGTGGTTTTCAAGGGTAACAGGGAACATACTCAGCTCCTTTCCAATAACACGAAACCAAATGCAAAGAATTCATTTTTCTTGCTGTGCATTTTTTTTTTTTTAAAGAAGGACATTCCTCTTCATTTCTTTGTATATCTTTTAGCTGGAGAAAGATTTACTTTGTGTGTTTGTTTTTCATTTTTTAATTTTTTAAGTAAGCGCTACACCCAACATGTGCTTGAACCCACAACCCCAAGATCAAGAATTGCGTGCTCCACCAATTGAGCCAGCCAGGTGTCCCACTATTTTTTATGCTTTTTAAGTATTTTTAATCTCAAGAAAGTGAACACTTGATAACCTGTATTTTCCAACTTCCATACTCAGAAACTTGCTAGTTCTTCATCAAGGGCCCTCCATCCCCTGTCCCAATCTTCTAGAGCTTCTCCTGCACTCATTTCCTGTGGGCACTAGAGAAGTCTCACATTTAGATTTCAGAAGCCATAGAGACTCAGTGGATTTTCCTTTAGTCTTTGTACTTTCTCATCAAGCCTATTTTTAGCATAATGAGCAAACTCAAGCTTAGAAGTCACGTTCTGAAGGACAGTTTTCTATGATTGTGACCCTGAGCATTATTAAGAACCTCTCTTTATTTTGCTTAGGAATGTGACTCTAAGGAACACGATTAGTTTTGAGTGTTTCCAGGGACACATGTCTGCTGGACCCGTACATATCCTCTTGCTTGGTCTCCTTGATTAGAAACACTTCAAAATTTTTCATGGTGTACTGAGATTTAAGTGTTAATTTTATATTATATTCTTTGTTCTTTTGATAATTGTACTTATAAATTTTTCTCTTTAGTTTTTCAAATTAATATTTTTCCAAGTTGTCTCTTTAGCCCCTTGTGTAATCACCTGCATTCCTTTGCATTGTTTTCTGTTCCTTTATACGTTCATTTTTTCTTTTTCAATATCTCTCTTTGTCTGTATTTTCAGAACACTGCTTTTCCCTGTTTAATTATCTGCTTTATGTCCTTTAACTCCTTTTCTCCCTCCCTCCCTCCTTCTCTCTCTTCTTTCTTTTTTGGTTTTATTTATTTAGCTAACTCCACACCTGATGTGGGGCTCGAACTCACAACCCAGAGATCAAGAGCCGTATGTTTGTTCCAACTGAGCCAGCCAGGCTCCCCGACTCCTTTTCAAATAAAGATATTTAACTTAGTATCCTTCCTAGTTTTCCAAATCTCTGTTAATTTTCTGAATTAACTGTGCTTTCAAGAAACTTTTAAAAATACATATTCCATAGCTTTTCTGTTCTTTATTATGAAAGCCTATTAGTATAGGCTTGGGTTAATAATATTTATTGAGTACCCACTGTTTATAGATGACTTTTTCTGCACAGGTGTGAAAATGATGCCTCCTATATTTGAAAAAATGTGTAGTTAAATGCCATTTTAGTATGACTCTTTAGTGCTGATTTTCAAGGATAGTCTTTGAATTCTTTACCTCATGTGATTAGGGGTGTACCTCATCTTGTTCCATTACTTCTTTTAGATCTATATTTTGTCTTCATCTACTACCTTTATATAAATAAAGAGCCTTCCTTTACAGATTTTTTTTATCATCCTTCTCTTTTTAATGCTTATATCCCATATTTTTAAAGCAGTATTTATTTTTTGTTTGTACAGGTTTGCAAGCTGAGAGTAGGGATGGGGAGTGGGAAAGAATTAATTTATTTGTGATTGTCTTAATTTAGAAGCCTGAGATCCAGAACCTTAGAATTTCTTTGACTTCCTTACTTTATACTTATAGTTACCTGTAGGAATGCCTGATTGTGTTCTATAAATTATGGCCTTGGGGCACCTGGGTGGCTCAGTCATTAAGCGTCTGCCTTTGGCTCAGGTCATGATCCCAGGGTCCTGGGATCGGGCCTCACATTGGGCTCCCTGCCCAGCGGGAAGCCTGCTTCTCCCTCTCCCACTTCCCCTGCTTGTGTTCCCTCTCTCACTGCTCTCTCTTTCTCTCTCTCTCTCTCTCTCTCTCTCTCTCTATCAAATAAATAAATAAATAAATCTTTTAGAAAAAATTATGGCCTTGTTTACAAGTTCATGGAGGCAAAGTAACTGTTTTATGTAAGGCAGGGGTATATGTATATTTTATTGGGTATGGGCAAATACTTAAGTCCCTTGTGTTTGCTTACCTATTTGAACTGCCAAGAAAAGTATTGTTGTTGGCAGCCTCACCAGCCAATAGATTAGAGAGAATTATTCTTGGAAATTTGATAGGATGAGTTTCTACTTCCTACATTTAAGGAGTATTTTCTGCTTTAGCATGAAGAAATCAAATTGATGTCTCCTGTTCAAAGCTCTATAATAACTTTCTGGGTATTACTGTCATTACTACCTTTGATTGAATTCCCTTGTTCATATTTGAACCTTAATAGCATTTTTTGGATGGACTTTAGAATTGTGTTCACTCATGTACTCTAACTCACCATGAGTTTATAACTTAGCTATTTAGCTACATGCTTTTATCTAGACCTAATCAGTGGTGTTACTAAAATGTTTTCCACCTTTTTGGTGTAGTTATATATTTGAAATTTTACTTTGGACACACTTTGCTGTGTTAGACCCTAAACATCCTATAATTCATATTTTAAATTTAAAATATTGCATAGGCTTTAGCTCAGGCTTTAGTATCAGACCTAGCCTTCCTTTCTGCCTCTACTGTATTACTCATGGCTGTGCAACTTTGGGCAAATCACTTCTTTTCTGTAAGCTTCAATGCTGCCATCTATAAAATATGGATTATAACTACCTATGTTATAGGATGGTTGTATTGATTAAATGTGATACTAACACATACAAATTTCTAACCATCGGCCAAAAAGTGATAAATAGTAGTGCGAATGAACTGCTTTTCTTGAACTCTGGCATTAACAGGTAAATTCCTGTACCAAATTCTTTAATACAATTTGGTCATTTTTATGGATATATTATCTACTGATACCATCTTTCTCTGGCTTTGGGGGGACTCTGCCCATGGGCAAATGCCTAATTGAATTTTGAGATTGTATTGATTCCATAGCAACATTAGTAACAGATTTATTAATTGGACATCAAAACATTGATGACATAGTTTAGCATCATTCCTATTTAGGCCCATCTCTCTTCTTTCATCTACATCTGTGTTACCCATAAAAGTATTGAACTGATCTTAGATTGACAATCTGAAGAGATCCTAGGGCATACATTCCTTTCTAAGCTTCCTTCAGTCAGGTCTCACCTTATTTTCATCTCATCCTGTTTTCTCTTCCTATGATCTTATTATCCCAACCCATTCATATTATCTTCCCAATATAAATATTATAAAAAATTTCTTGAAGTTTGATAACTATATGGAAATGTCTTTGTAAATGTTATTTGTATAGGTCTTGCCTGTTATTTTAGATTGTATGTGCAAAGTAAACAAAGTAAACATTACCAGTGTTATGTGCACAAAAATTATGTATTTGTCAGTGGCCTTTTTTCTGTATAATCATAATTACCTTATTTCCTGAGTTATTTTTCAGAGAAACAACCAAAACACCTCCCATCACCCAATGCCCATGCCTCATATTTCCTCCTTTGTTTCTTTTTCATATAGTGATTCCATGAATAATTCTGTTCTTGTCTCAACTCCAGCCTGTAGGTCGTGTTCATTATATTTGTCTTATCCAAGCACCAGATAATTCTGTGCTTTTTAATTATCTTTCTTTATTAATATCAGCAATGTCTTTAGTTCATTATTCTCAAATGGCAATAGAGAGCGTTAGAGGGAAGATGGTATCATAACTATCAGGGAATTTTTTTTTTTTTTAAAGATTTTATTTATTTATTTGACAGACAGAGATCACAAGTAGGCAGAGCCGCAGGCAGAGAGAGAGGAAGGGAAGCAGGCTCCCTGCTGAGCAGAGAGCCTGATGCGGGGCTCGATCCCAGAACCTTGGGATCATGACCTGAGCTGAAGTCAGAGGCTTTAACCCACTGAGCCACCCAGGCGCCCCCTATCGGGGAATTTTAAATGAGCGAATGTATTTTCACTCTGGAAATTGTGACTCAGATTGAGGATATATGTGGACAAGTGTATTGTGGAAAAATCTCCCTGGATGATTCTGGTATCCAGTACCTCTTTCCACAGTCTCCCCATCCCATAAGCAGTTTATTTTTCATGATTTACACATTTTTTCTCATGGTCCTAAATTTCTTAAAAAGAGTATCTCCTTTTTCTTTCTTTTCTTTTTTTTTTTTTTAAATGAAATAAGTTTATGTGTTTTTTTTTTATAGATTTTTATTTATTTATTTGACAGAAATCACAAGTAGGCAGAGAGAGAGGAGGAAGCAGGCTCCCCACTGAGCAGAGAGCCCGATGCGGGGCTCGATCCCAGGACCCTGGGATCATGACCTGAGCCGAAGGCAGAAGCTCCAACCTACTGAGCCACCCAGGCGCCCTGAGTATCTCCTTTTTCTAATTGACTACTATTTTGCCATTACCTAAAAATCCTAAAAACATTCCTAATACAGTACTTTGCTAATGAAACTAAGTCATATATTAAGTGGTGTACCCAAATTAGCATAAACAGAGGGTTTGTATTTATGTATGTATATATGTGTGTATGTATGTATTTTTAAAGCTTTTATTTATTTGAGATAGAAAGAGCATGAGAGGGGAGAGGGTCAGGGAGAAGCAGACTCCCCCCTGAGCAGGTGGCCTGATGGGGTACTGGATCCTGGGACTCCAGGATCATGACCTGAGCTGAAGGCAGTTGGTTAACCAACTGAGCCACCCAGGAACCCTTTTCTGTTTTTTTTTTAAGGTGGGGGGCACCTGGCTGGTTCAGTAGGTAGAGCATGACTCTTGATCTCAGGGCTGTGAGTTCAAGTCCCAATTTGGGTATAGAGATTACTTAAAATCTTAAAAAAAAAAAGGAAAGGTGGTTATTATTTTCATTTTTCAGAGCTTGGCCCATAGTCACTA